TCCCCTACAAGATAAGGTAGTCATTAATATAAATTAAAAACAGGAATGGGCCAAGAATCGAGCCCTGAGGAACGCCCATTGATACTACTGATCCGGAGGAACCTTTACCATTGATCACGACTTTTTGAGTTCTGTTACTTAAATGTGAAGTAATAAGTCTAAGCGCTAAATTTTTTACACCGTAATGTTGTAGTTTCCTGATTAATGTCTCATGATGAACACAATCGAAAGCCTTGGAAAGATCACAGAAAATACCTAAGGCATCTTGTGAATTCTCCCAGGCAATAAAAATATATTTGATAAGCTCAACACCGACGTCGAGCGACCCCTTGTAAAACCAAATTGGTTTTTATGAAGTAATTTATTAGTATTAAAAAAAATTAACGATTGATCAAAAATTTTACTGAGAGTTGGTAGTACAGAAATAGGTCTAAAATTAGCGGGGTCCAATGTACTACCAGATTTAAATAAAGGTATTACTTTACTATACTTCATTAAATCAGGAAACACAACAGAATCGATACAAGTATTAAAGATAATAGCAAGATGAGGTGCAATTAAATCTATTATGGACGCAATAACTGTAACGGAAATCCCCCACAAATCTGCGGTCTTCTTAACATCAATAGTTTTGAAGTATTTTACAACGTCTTGCGATAGTTCTTTTTCAAATCCAAATTCTTTTAAACAGGTATTAACATTCTGTTTGAGTAATGACTCGGCGACAGTTGGAGAAGTACTCAATGACTCAGTTGTCAAGATAGGAATATCCGTGAAATATTTCTCAAATACCGCTGCGACTTCTTGATTTGTTTAGTTAAATCATTGTTAATTTTTAATTGATAGTTTGAGTTACGAGGTTTGTCTTTACCGGTTTCGTTGTTAATTATACTCCACGTCATTTTAATTTTATTCTTAGCCGTCTTAATTTTGTTGCTAATATGTAACGATTTGGCTGTGGAGCAAACTCTTTTAAATATTTTAGAATAATTTTTGATATATTCTTTAAAAGCATCGGAAAGATTATATGATCTTTCATGGTAAAGGTGTCTACTTTTATGAATTTCTACTGTCGCCCACTCATTAAATGCCTTGCGACTGTTTCTGGAAAATGTTTTAGAAGTAAATGTTTTTTTTTAATTCATTGCTTACTTATAAGGGTAAATAATTTTCCATATAAATAGTCTGCATTGTTCTTATAAGAAAGCGAAGGAAGGTTTTTTACCATATTACTTCTAAATCTCTCCAGGCGTTTTGCATTAATAGGAACAAACACACTTTTCTCAATTACCTGTTTTTTGTGCATATAAGGTAATGAAACCAGTTGTCCACAGTGATCTGAACTAAGTTTTTGAATAATTGTTTTGTTGATTGGTACAACACTTGCAAAAATATAATCAATACAAGTTGCACTACACCCTGCAATACGTGTAGCTTCAAAGAATAAATTATCAAGATTATAGGATTTGAACAAAGAGCAAAATTTTATACTGATGGAAGAATTTTCCAGGAGATTGATATTAAAGTCTCCAAGAGATTTATTCTGTTTATTAAGCTTAACTAAAACTTCTTCTATAACCTTTTCAAAAGTATCATAATTTGAACATGGGGTCTGTAAACACTGACAACGATAAGGTGCTCAAGCTCAACGCATGCCATTTATACGGTACGCTCAACAGAGAGGCTCACAATATCTTTACGTTCTTTACATGATAAGGATTTATTAGCTAATATTAAGGAGCCACCACGTAATTTAGTATCTCTATTGAACGAACTGACCACCTGGTGATTACTGAAATTAAATATGCAATTGTAATCTTTCAACCAATGTTCAGTAATACATAATATATATATATATATATATATATATATATATATATATATATATATATTGTTACTATTTCAAACTAATTCAATTTCTAATTCTTTGCCTAACATGCCTTGTATATTTTTATGCACCAGGTTGATACAGTTTTTATTATTGCTATTTTGTGAAATTGCATAATTGTGTATTGGTAGGTTGCATTCTAAGCTATTTAAATTATATTTCCTAGAGATTACCTCTATTGTCTTATTATCTAATTTAAATTACTTGGAACTGGTTCCAAATCAAATGTAAAATTATTGACCTGCTCAAAAGAAGCAGGTGTCAAGGTAGCCAAATCGTTGGCTGAGTTAAAATATAAATAATAAGATAGCGTATTTGCTATCAGTCTTACAGTCTTATTCATAAAAATCCCTTAAAATGGCGTTATAACACTCTTTAGTTAAAGTGCTCATTAGTACTAATAAACCTATTATAAAATTCTGTATTCATAAACGTTCTATAAACCTCTTTTAGTTTTTTATTTTTATTTTGTCTATATGGCCCTTGGTATTGTGGTTATGTCACAATAATTTTGCCAATGTCCGGTCTTTGGTCTGTCGCACCTTGTCTTGAGGCTTTTCGGTGGAAAAGGAGTTAGCGGTTATTAGGTGAAAATATGGATAAAAACAAAGCAACTAAATACGTAAATTATGGACCACACAATATAGAGCAAACATCTAGTTATAGGAGAGAGTTAGCCTGGGCAGGGAACAGAGAATCAGGTTAAGCTAAATTTAGTACACGATAATTAGAGTTTAATATTATACATTTGAATATATTTTGAGATCATATTGACATATATGGAATTGGAGATAGTTAAGAGGGAATTGATATTCACTGGTCGAGGTATTGTGTTGGGAAGAATGTCATATAAAGAAATTGGGTGATTTTGGCAATTAAAGAAAATGTGGTCTGGGGTACCTTCATCCAGACCACATTCACAGAGGGAACTCTTTTAGTTAAATCGTACTTAAGAAATACTTTAGTTTTATTATGTTGTCATTCTGATGAATCCATAGACTAGCGACGGAGTTTTGGCGGGAAATTGACCGGCGGCGGTTTGCTGCTCCTGTATTATTGTTTAAATAATGGTTTGAAGTGGACTTTGATATGTAAAAGTGTTGCGATTTTGTGTATTAAGTGTCTACGCATGTGAACTATTAGTGGAAACAGTGAAACAAGTGCTCTGATGGTGATGGATTCTCAAGATAAGCTGTTTGTTTGCATAGGCACCTTTAGATACCATCGCCAACTATCAGCTGTCTGCTGGATCAAGTTGCCGCCAAAATCTCCCAAGAACTGCACAATGTGACGCATCAACATATTGTGAAGCAGTATACTATGAAGGAGTGGGGAAATTACAATAAACCGAATAAAAATACTTAAGACTTGGCCTAAAGGTCGATACCAGGCCATAAACTCCAAAAAAAAAAAATAGACTAGCGACGGTAAAAAAAAAAGTTTGACAGCAATTGCCAATTGTGGCATTCGCGTCAAATCAAATTAAGCGCGTTGTTTTCTTATAACGGTTCAAGAAATTGATTTGAGTTCATAGAATTATTACGCATAGAAGCGCAGTCCAGTACAAAACACGAGCGTTAAAATGATGCGAGGTCATAATGTTAGTGGGCGCGAGTCGAATGTGCCTACGCTCGTCACACGCACACATACACGCCATTCAGTGATACCAGTTTCTGGCGTTTGCAATCAAATTGTGCAAATCACTATTTTTTGATTAATTTAAAAAAATCGATATAATAAAGATTACGTATTACGTACAAAAATGTATAAATATAAAATGGAATAAAATAAACACGATAATGATGGTACTAATATAACTTTATTATACATATATTAATGGTAAAAACTACAGACGTAATAAAATTTAAGAATATTATTAAACACAATTAATTTGCTCGAATACAATAAGCACATCTTGTAATGTTTAATTTTAACCGACTTCAAAAAAGGAGGAGGTTATCAATTCAGTGAATTTTTAATGTTTTTTACCTCAGAATTCTACAATTTCTAAACTGATTTAGATTTTTTTATTTGAAAGGATATACACAGATTGATCCAATACACACGATGAAATTTTAATGGTTGTTTTCCCGAAGTAAAATGATTTTGCCTTAGTAGTACAATACATTTATTAAAATAGAATTATTAGGATATAAAAATGGCAGATTTACAATCGAGAAAAACAAAACTCGAATACGATCTCAAACCAATAGCAATATCTCGCAAGAAGGTCGGGCGTGCAGGCTAGCTTATACCGAATTACTATAATAAAGTCTGAAAAAAAATTCGCTGGACGTAATGTTGTTTTACGTCTATCGCACGTGCTACCGCGCGCTTTCTACACAGTGAAGGGCCACTAATAAATGTTCATAACATGAACTCTCAAGCGTAGTGATACGACATAAACTAGTTTGGATGCCCGAATAGCTTGTGAGGTATTACTATTGTAAATCTGCCCTTTTTAATTGTAATATTTTTTAATTTAATAAATTGACTCTACTATCGAGACAGTATAATTTGGCTGCGGGACAACAACCAGTAAAATTTCAGCATGTATATACGAATTGATCAAGCTTAGAAATCAGTGTACATACATATTCATAACCTTTCTTTTTCGGAGTCAGTTAAAATAGGCTATGTTTGGGTCTAACGTAACATCTGGTTAATGTTTGAGTGTAAAGTGACATCTGGTTAGAAAAGGCGTTCTTATTAATAATCTCATGATGTTGTAAATAAAAAAGTTTTATTCTATACTCTAAAACGTAACCTTAGTCAATAAAAAAAGCAATTAAAATAAAATAGTTGCGTTAAAACGGCCTCGGCGAATCGCGATTAGCTGATCACTCCGTATTAGTTTTAAATAGGCACCCATTGTTAATATAATGTTAACACTTAGAGAAGTAGGTATCTATACATAAACATTTGAGTTTTACACAGAACATTGCGATTAAACGTTTAAACACAAATAGAAAATTAATATTATTAAAAGAAAATTGTGATTTTTTCCCCACAACTAGCAACATTTGTATTATGAGAGCTTAGGTAAGTATTTTTTTAGTTTTACGTACTTATAATGAATTAAATGTATAAACTTATATGTGAAATGTAATACCATCACTTCTTTTATGTTTATCATCACCGTTGTGACAATATTTTACAACACAAACGGTAATTTTTACAATTTTTCGCGAGCTCTTCTCCGTAAGGCGTGACGTTGCGCACTGACCACAGAGTACTTTTATATAGCACTGACGCGTCGCTGAGTCAACTAACGCGGTTTCGCGTTAGTTCTTGCTTCACTTTCGGTGCGCGTACTAGTATTCTATGCGTAATAATTCTATGTTTGAGTTATATTTTTACTCAATAGTAATGGAAAACAGTACATGTAAAAAGCGGCAAAGAAGCGAAATTTGGCTGGAGGAAGATAAGGTTAGTACGTAACTAAAGTAATTTTCTTCATAGGTGCTTAGTGCACAAGTGTTAGTTCACTGTGTTGTTATAATAACATCCTTTTTCTTTCCATAGCATTTATTAATGGATTTGGTAAGAGAGCGTGTATTAGTGATTGAAAATAAAAATACTGATACAAATACGAACTCAAAAAAGCTAGCAGCATAGGCGGATTTATTATGCATACCTATTTTTGTCTATCCATGTGTGAAGTGTTTGAAGACGAGTCTTCAACGCAATGATATCCTATATACGGTCAGTTACATTACTATGCAACAGAAGCATGTCACTTTGTCTCTAGCTGGCATAATACATATAAGTTTAAATTCACTTAACAGTCTTCGGGAAGAGCTATGACAGGAGCCTCCCTATCCAATAGGATTCATTATGACGAAACTTATTGAATAATTAAGTTGCTGACACAGGTTCAGACTTAAGTTGAAAACTTAAGTAACAGTGGGCAGTCCACATAGCTCATAGAACATAGGATTGGATGGGTTGATATATGAGAAAGTGCAACCAAGTTCTCAGGATTGCTTGCATTAAGATTAGCCCATTTTGAATATTACGAGTAAAATGTTAAACATTTATGTACATTGCTATATTTTTTTTTCCAGTTTCAACAGTAGGTGCAAAGGTGGCACTTGGACCCTCCCACAAATAAAATACCAATGGAGCATTATTAAAATGACAAAAAAGAAAATTAAGTCTGTTGAATGTAAGAATCTTCTCCAAACTGGTGGTGGTCCACCTCCAACAACAAACTCCGAAAATACAGATGACATCTGTTCATGGCTCCCTAACGAATTTGTCATTGACACAAATGAATTTGATTCTGATGAAATAAATCCGGTATTATGTATGTTAAGATTCTAAGTTAAAAGTTGCAAATTTTATCTCTACCTAGTGCAAACTTTCATTTGATAAACATTGTTGTTCCTTTTCTGCCTAAATACCTACTAAAGTTTCCTTAATGATATTGTTATCAAAAATAAAATTCATTAGTAATTGAATTATTTATTGCATTATTTGTAGATTTGAGATCAAAGTGGATGATAATTAAACTTGTCAACATTGAAAACAAGACTTCAGATATTGTAAGCATCAATAATGTATTGAGATAGCTAGTCATTTTTATATTTTTCATATCTAATTTTAATTTTATCTTATTTTACTGTTGTAGGACACAATGAGTACAGTAAAGGATGTCACAGTAGAATTACTTCAGGACGTTCAAAATACACAAGAGGTAAATATGTGAAAAGCTGTAAATTAAGTAAACATGTGCCAAACTGGAAATCGAACCCGTAACTTGATTTGTAATTCTGATATTGTTGAAGCCATGGAAGCAGTTATCTCCCAGTATGTGGATTGTAAAGTTTAGGGATAAAAGTATTACTTGAATAAAATGAAATGGTCTATTTAAACTTGAATTTTATTTGATGAAACATTTAAGATTAAGTTAATGTAAACAAGTTTCTTTTAATGGTTTTCATTGCTGCAGGTTGTAGCTACTGGCTCACCACCAAATCCACTGTTTACACCTTCTAAGAAACCTGGAAGAAAATATAAAAGTTAGAAAAAGGTAAACACAATGACCTCTATTCTAATAGGGATTATGTTAATTTATGAAATTGTTGCTTTGATTTTGTTTTTAAATACTCAAACATAACTATTTTTATTTCAGACCAGCAAGTATAGCCAATACTGAAATTGAGTGTAGGAAAGAGGTCCATCAAGCCCAAATGGCAAATGAAGGAAGGAAAGCACGAAACTTGGACCTAGAGGAGACATTAATAAAAATAAAAATTGAATATTATAATAAAAACTACAAGTTCTTGCAAAATAAATAATTGAAAACTAAAATGTAGCACCTACTTACTGATAGCCTTAATTAGTTAAAATGCCTATTAATAAATGCTCATAGAAGAGCATTATTGGAGTCTCTTCCTCTGGCCTCACCAATTTGAGGTAGAAGTTCAACATCCACAATTGCATTGAGTTTGTCATCATGATCTGAAAATTATATTACAAATATTATTATGTAAAAAAAATATTATATTCATGAATGATTAAAATTATTTGTGTGCAAATTACCTGGTACTGAATTTTGTCCTATTGCAATATTGTGCAACACTGCAAGAGTCACAATTGTAGGTTTCACATTTTTCATGTCTTACTGTCATGCCAGAAAATAGACTGACACCGCTGCTTCCACACCAAAGCAACGTTCAACACAGTTCCGAGTGGCAATTTGTGCTCGATTATATCTTTCTTCATGCTCATTTTGAGGTCTTAGTATAGGTGTAAATAGATATGGCTCTAATCTGTAGCCTAAATCTCCTAAGAGTCTGCCTCTTAACTATTCTTTCAAAGTGGATTCATTAAAGACATGGGAATCGTGGGTACTGCCTCACCATCTGGCAACCATGTCTGATATATAGTTTAACATCGCAAACTACCTGCATTAAAAATGAAAAATATGTGAGCACAGTTATGTATGTAGGTAAGATAAGTACATATGTATATGAGTAATATATCACCTGGCAAAGAACTGCATTGTATTATAAAATGAACTTGCACATTCTATGAATAAAACCCTTTTTGGTTTATATAATACTGAGCTGCATCACCACCAAATTTCTTTATTTTTATGTGAGAGCAATCGATGCAACCCAACACAAAGGAAAATTTCTTGTCTCTAAAAGTTCCCTTATAATCCTTTGCTCTTCTTCCAAGGACTGCGGCATTTTTATGTCGGTGTCAGAATGACGAGCAATCGCACGAGCTACTCCTAAAAAGGATAGGTACAAAAACGTTTACACACTCAAATAGGATATTATTACTTGTACGCTACAAGTTGACTTACTTCACGACGTCCCCAACATCTAATGGCGGTTTACGCCTGCAATTCTGGTGACGTTCCACAACCTCTTGTGTCCAGTTGTAAATCCTGCTTGACGAGATCAATTATAAAAGATGCCGTATGTTTTTTGAAGCGGTATCGCTGTTTGAACTCTACATCAGGCAAAGAAAACGGATCATATCTCTTCCGGTAAACCTTACGACGATGCATTTTCTACTTGGTCCATAGCTTCTAAAGCTTGCAGAGCTTGCATAACGACACTTTAGCAATTAAAATCCACAAAAAACAATTTCACCAACAATAATCTATACAACTTCAACAATCAGCTGTTTGTTGCTCGCACGCAGTCGCAGATCGGCCATTTTTCCTTATAACAGGTTTATAATGGGTTTATAATAAGGTGGACCCTCTATAACTTATGAAGCCGCTATAGAACACTTATAGTACGTTTTAGCGTTATAGTGCGTTTATGAATAGTGTTTGACGGGTACCTCTTAATAAGAAGCTAATAAACCTATTTTAACTTTTTATGAATAAGACTGTTAAACTATACTTTGATAGGTTATACCTATCTCTTGTCAAAAACTTCTTAATTAAATTATTTAAATCAATTAATTGAAATTTATAATTATTACAATTATATGTCAGTTTTGCATTATTATTGCATATTACATATTTAAGTCATGTCTTAATTTATTTTCTTGTGGCAGACCCCATAAGTAAGGCAATGTAAACAAAACAATCTTGTGTACATTTAAATTATTTAGAATTTCAATATAATCCAATAGGTAATTGTTTTTTATTCACATTGCCTCTTCTCAATAAGAAGTATCAATATACTATTAGGACTATGGCTACTTATTAGAATTTTATTTATAATTTGGCTAAATGTTGCTCCAGGCATACAATAATTAGTAATTTGGTGTTCCTTTAGACAGTTATTTAATACTAAACCTAAGTTTTTACCTATATCATCACTGTACACAACAATATTATTTTTGCTAACATTTAAATTACATATTCAAATTATTTATTGTTCTGGAACTGTCATGGAGTTTACAAGTAGGAGAGGAGTTCTTTTTGTCCATATTATTAACATATAATGTCCCTGAAGTAACTGGTAATGAGCGCTGATACTCACACTGATGTTTTACTAATGCCTCAAAACATTCCTCTTTATATTTACACAGTGTCACCAGTTCGTCCATGGCCAGTATATGTTCCTTTATTTCATTTTGAGCTAAGAAATTTGGTTATTCGAATATTGTGTATTTGTACAGCGATCTTTTTGAGCCGCTGCAAACAGCCGTAACAATGTCCATTCACGACGGCGACTGACGCCGAACTGAGTGTCACAGTTCTATTTAGTAATAATTTATTCATACAAGGCTGCCGCTGTGAGTTATGATGAGACCTTACCTCCGGACTTGATAGAGTAACTTGAAAGTATACTTTGATGACTAGTTCTGGACTTCCTCGACGAGGAGAACTAGATATGCCGAGTTTGGCCTCGTTTTGTTAGATATGATGAGCCCTTACCTCCGGACTTCATAAAGTGACTAGAAAGTGTACTTTGGTGACTACTACTGGAACTCTGACGAATAGAACTACAATTTGCATTTTTTTTAATTTTTTCACGATCATATGAGCATTATGAGTCGTGCATTTTTGATTTTCCAAGCTTTTTTGTAAATTGAAATTTGACATAAAATGATCGAAAAATTTAAAGTAAAGTAATAATTATAAGGTTTTTAGTGAAAACGTGTGTGATTAAACTACTTAAAAAAATTACGTATAATCACGTTATACGTGATTTTTTAATACGCTTAAGGCATGCACAATTGGATTTACGAATTATTTTATTTACGACTAGCTGTTCCCCGCGACTTCGCTCGCGTGTTAGGGTTTTTATGTTTTTGCGCGGAACTCTAATTCTTTTTCTATAATAAAAGTAACCTAAGTTACTCCTTATGAAATCAGCTATCTGTCAGTGAAAGTTCTGTCAAAATCGGTTCAGCCGTTTTGGAGATTAGCCGGAACAAACAGACAGACAGACAGACAAACAGACAGACAAAATTTTTAAAAATGGTATTTTAGTTATAAGTACCGTATTTACATTCATATGCATTTAGTAAAAAACTGTAATTTTGACATTACAAACATACACTTCAATTTTATTTATTTGTATAGACTAGCGAAGTGAGCGGATAGCAGCCAGATAGTAAATATATTTTTTCATGTATTGATTACAGTCAAAAGTCTACTGTTAAACATAGACCTCTCCCATAGATTACTAATACAATTGTAAGTAGAACTAAAAAGAAGTAGGTAGGAAGGACAAAGGGCACCAAAAAGTACGTGTAAATTTTCAGTTCTTAGAAGAATTTAGAAAGGAACAACAAGCCAACTTTAATATTTTACGTTCGGCGTTGAAGAATTAAAGAAACAAAGTATTTATTAAATTGCGTGAATCAGTTGAATTTGTAACGGTAAAATATGATGAAACGATACAAATATTTAAACAAATGGAATAAGAAAGGTTAAACGACCAAAAGCTTTTATATAAAGTTTGTTATTATATTAAATTAAAGTTAATATAATTAGATAAAAAATTTGAGCACTTGGAGAGCAGTACCAGGTCATCTAGTTTAGAATTTCGCAATGTGCCTAAACAATCAGACGAAACAAAAAACATGCGTGAGTGTCGTGAAACACTTGGTTGGAACGAAGTTCCTTACGTAGTACATATATTATCATTGATAAACGTATTATATTATTGATTAACAATTGTGCAAATAAATTAATTACTAGCGTCTATTAAATGAAGCGTCATTTAAACCATGAAGCAAATACAAATAGGAGACGTTGTAATTAAATTTCACTATGTAACAACGCGTGACAATTTGCGGGGTGAGGGGATGCAAAGCCCCGCCCACTATACACTATCTACATCTACCGATAAATAGTAAAACTACTCGAATCGTTCCATATCGATGTTGCAAAGTAGTTTAGCTACCTTGACGGTAGATGGCGGCCTCTCTACTAAATGTTATAAACTATAAAAATAATATTTTGGCGATTAAAATTACTTTATGTCTGAATGCAAAACAAATTTCAACACCTTCGTATGATTATTTTATTATTACTGAGCTCTACGTACCTTTATATTTTTAGTTCACATGCCACAAAGTGGCGCCATCTAGTGTCGAATATATTTAATTATATTTGAAAGGCGACGCAAAGAGATTTTTCTAGAACTATTTTAATAAATTAGGTGTAAAATTACTTACAAATGAAATGTGATGCCATCCATAGCATCGGAGCGTCTATATTCATGAAGCAAATACATTCAGACAAAAAAAATCTTAATCGCCAAAATATTATTTTATAGTTTTCATAATAATATTGTGAACAGGCCGCCATCTGTCGTCAAGTAAACCTCATAAAAATAACAAAAAGCCAGGGCCGTAATTAGAATTCAATTATTTCACCCAGTAACCCAACATGCAATATTAAAATGTGTAGTGTTATGCTACTTACATATCATTTTACACTATTTTAAATTCATTTTTCCATTTTGTTTTGATTTTCTGCATTCACCTCAAAACTGGATATTTTGCATCACCTTTATTTCCATAGGATCCTGTAACGTTTTTAAACCATAAGAACACAATAACAAATCATTTTCACTTCGTATTTTCACGCTATCAGCA